AAAGAGCCCGAGTTCGGATCCCCAGCACCCATACACAAAGTGAACCTGGTCATAACTGCCCATAACCACTGTCTTAGCGATGTCTTTGGGTATTCTGCACCCAGGCTAGGACCCAGGATGTCAAGATACCAGCTCCTGTGTCATTTGCCTGTAGCCACTCCCCCAAGTCCTCTGGGAGGTCCTAAGGTCTGCTGGAGTCAGGTATGGTCCTGAGGTCACAAGGACCATGCAAGAATCAAGACAGAGGCTTTGTGGTTGGCGTAGTCCTGCTGGGAAGTGAAGACAGGAGGAGCCCTGGGGCTTGCTGGCCAGCTAGTCTGTCAGAATCATCCCAGGTTCAGTGAGAGAACCAGACAGAAAGGTAGAGAACAATTGAAAAAGGTAACTGATACCTACCTCTGACTTCCACATATACACAGACACAGATACACACACAGATACAGACACAACACAAACACAGACACACACACAGGAACACACACAGACACAACATAAACACAGACATAGACACAGACACACACAGACAGACACAGACACAGACACACACACACACACAGACACACACGGCATTCTAAGCCTCATGTCATGACCTTGAATACAGACACGGGGTTCTTGCACCTCTCTGTTCCTCTTCTCAATGCAGCCACAGACTGAACAAACCTCTTTTCTCTGCTTCTCACTAGTACTTGACGCTGATCGCTCGCCATCATTGGGGCTGGGAGGCTGAGCTACCTTATGGGAACGTCCAGAGCTAGGCTTTGATCCTACAACTCTGGTAATGTCTCTGTAACTCACAGGGCTCTAGAGGAGTTTTGAAGATTCAAAAATGACAAACTACAAACACGTCAAATGGCTAGAACAAGACAAACCTTGATGGACTTCAGAAAGCACCGAAGCCCTGGAGCAGCTGCAGCCCGCAGAGAGAGTAGTGCACTGTGAGGCTCCCGGGGTGCACTAGGTAAGACCACTCAGAAGGCTTCTGGCACTGTGTACAGATGCCAAAAGAGTTACCTCAGGTGCAGGATGTGAAGTGAGATCCTGCAGGGTGGATGTTGACTGTACAATGAGCCCAGGAATGCCCACTCAGCCTACTCAGTCATTTGTTGGTACCTGCCTCTTCCACAGGTCTCCCCACCTTCACACCTTTGCAAAGACGACCTGTGCAGCAGGCTTTAGTGGCTTCCCAAGTCCTCGTGTGGTGAACTCTATAAAACTTTCTCTCACTTCCAAACTACCTCAGACCCAATCCTCCCTGCCACAGATTGCGTATTGGTTGGCTGTTTTGGGCTGCAGAGTGAAAGGTCTCGGGATTGGGGTTCAGGTGGGACACTGAGGCAGATTATCCCATCTGGTAAGAGATTTATTAGTTTAACACTGTGGACATGTTGGGTGCTCCAGTGAGAGTTCAGACCCTCAAGGCAAAGTATGGGTTTCTTATAGATCTCAGAGGAAGGGGTCATTGTCCTGTAGTCAGGCTGTCCCTGACTACCCAGTAAGCATGGGGAGAAGGTATTACCAAGAAGGAATGTCTAACTTGAAGGATATGGGGGCGTGAGGAGGAGGGGCGCATCGAGTTGAGGTGTACTCAATGTATGTGTGGGCGTGTGTTCCCCTAGACATCCCAGACTCTGGTAATGAGCCTGCAAACTTCCTTGGGGAAATGAAAATGGCTCTGGAATCCAGCTGCTTGGGGACTGGATTCTATGAGGCTGTTACAGATTCTTAGACGTGCTCCCTGTAGAGGGCGCTGGTCATTTCCTTCCTCGTGGCTGATGGGCTGGAGACATGGCTCAGCTCTTAGGAGCACTGCTGCTCTTCCAGATGGTTTGAATTCAGCCCTTAACACCCAGGTCAAGTGACTCACAATTCCCCGTGGCTTCTGCTCAAGGAAGAAGCTCAAGAAGCTCCTTCCTGGCTTCTGTGGTTACCTGAACACATGTAAATGAGCATATGTATACATATAAAAATAAAAATCCTAAAAAAGAGAAGCAGACTTCTGCAGGGGGCCTGAGCAGGAGTGCGGTCTGGATTTAAACAGAGAACTTTTCATTTTGAGGAACACTTAGTTTCACGACCTTGTTCTGGCTCAAATCTCTGGGATGTTTGAATTGGGAAACCTGTTGAGATAGTGGGGATTCTAGAAGAATCTGACTCAATTGTCACAACGTTGAGAAACCGTGGTACACTGTATGTTGTGTCTGTGTGTATTTGTGTGGGGGTGTACGCATGTGTCCATGGTGAACCAAGTGTTCGCCAGCTCTGCTAGATGGCAGCAAACTCCAGGGATCTTCCTGGCTCTCTCCAGCAACAGGACTACAGATGTGTGCCATCCACCCAGCGGTTTTTCTTCATTTTAAATTTTAATTTTTATGCTTGCATGTATAACTGCACCATATCCCCTGGAACTAGAGTTATAGACAGTTGTGTGAGCCACTGTGTGCACGGTGAGAGTCTCACATCTTGGAAGGACAGCCAGTGCTCTTAATGGCTGTATCATCCCTCAGGACCCCAGCACCCAGCTCTTCATGTGGGTGAACTCAGGTTCTCATGCTTGTTCAGGAAGCACTTTACTCACTGAACCATCTCCCGGCCCTGTGTATGTTTACCAGTGTTTTAAATTCGAGATATACAAGTAGTTCTGGGAAACAGAGATTTTCCAGGAAGTCGTTGGTGATGTCTGTTGACGGGATATGAAATTTAGCTTCAGTGTTGACAAAGTGTGAGGTCATATTCCAACTGAAGGAGTGATGAGGGGGTAATCCTGCTTCCAAGTCCCCAGACCTTTTGCATGCCAGGTGTGGATCCAGATTTCCTCTGTCACCTCCAAATTGTTTCCCTTGCCCTGTGTCACTGGAGACCCATCCATCATCTGATGATGAACGCAATGCTGTTTATCAGCAAGGTCCCAGACACTTCCTGAGGTCTCAGTCTATCCAATGGGCCAATGTAGACTCAGAATATCACAGAAAAACAAGACACAATTCTCTCTTCCAGAAGGCCTTGTCTGGGAAAGGCAGTGTCCCTTGGTGATGATGGGTTTCCTAATGAACCGTAGGGCAGGAGGCAGTCCCATCTTCCATCTGTGCAGCCTGCCGGTCGGTTGTGAACACTGACCCCAGCCTTCATGGCACAGCCTCACTGTCCTAACCAACAGACCCTGAGCAATCTCAAAGCAGTTAACTATGAGGAAGCAAGGCCATGGCTGGGCATTGAAGGCAACCTCCCGATGCTTACACAACCTCTTGTGGGTAAACACCCTTGAGGCTGTTCCTAATAGGTATTATGCTACCTTTGTGACTATATCCTCAGAAGAGCTTGACTTCGTTGTGTCCTTTATGCTGTAGTTTTGACATGGTCTCTAGAGGATTATGGGAAGAAAGACTGTAAAAGAGAGACCTGGTCCACCATGCGTTGGGTGGGTACAGGAACATCCCTGAGTACTTTCTAGAGGTCGGCCTGAGATGTTAGCAGTCAGGGGAGCTTGAGAGCAGTGCTATAAGCCTGTACCCTAGCTCTTGGGAGGGGAAGGCAGAGTGGGTGTTCAGGGCTAGTCTCTCTGAATATGCTACTGGCCCCACAAACACGCTTTAAAAAGTCTTTAAAATTCACCGTTCAGAGGGCCTGGAGAGATGGCTCAGCAGTTAAGAGCACTGACTGCTCTTCCAGAGGTCCTGAGTTCAATTCCTAGCAACCACATGGTGGCTCACAAGCATCTGTAATGGAATCTGATGCCCTCTTCTGGCATGCAGGTGTACATGCAGATAGAGCACTCATATAACATTAAATAAAGTAAATAAATTCACAATGCAGAACCCCCTAGGTAAGCTCCCTACACTGGGAAACTTATTCCAATCTCTCTATGGAGTGTTTGCTTTGCTTGAAACTACCTGTGTCATTCCATTGAATTCTTTCCTTTGAAGAGACTCAGAAATCCCTATAACTCACGGGCCAGAAATCCCTAAGACACAGCAGTAGTGTTGACCATGGGGGCAGGCAGCTTCAAGGGGATAGTAAAGCCCAATAGCTATGCACACAAGCTTGGTCATGAGATGTTTTAGGTTGAAGACCTGGTTCTATCCTATCCTAGTGCAAACCTCCTTTGTCTCTGTGCCTCAGATCTTCATTCTTAAGGAGGGGTGACTAACACATCCCAGATGTAAAGTTAGTTATAATGTCACTGGGGAGGTAGACAGAGAGGGCTAGATAACCCCATCTCGCCATGTGTGTGTGTGGATGTAGGGTGAAGACTGCCCGTGTGTGCGTGTGCGTGTGTGTGTGTGTTTGAGAGAGGGGGTGTGGGGGATGGAGTGCCCCTGTATCCAGCTGGAGCTCACAGGTTTGTCTAGTGAATTCTAAGGATCCTGGCCTACACAGTGAGAGCCTGTTTCAAAAGCTAAGATTGCAAGTGTTCACCACCACCACGCTTGGCTTTTTACCTGAGTGCTGGGAGCCCTAACTCAGATGTTCATGGCTTTATGGTACTTCACTGTCCGAGGCAGCTCCACAGCCCCAGGGACAGCAGGACTGTGCAAAGGCCGAGTCTCTTTTTTTGTGTGAAGGGAATTAACTTAAGGTGAGGCATAGACAAGCATGCTTTTCTCTTCATATCTCGTTGTAGGGTAGCATCAAGCTGCGGTTTTACTACTCTTCTCTCATAAGCTGGGGTTAAGTAGATTGAGTGTTTACGTTTCAAGACGTCTTACGTTGGCTAGAGAAAGTTCAGTGACACACACCACAGGCGGCATGACAGCGTGTCACCTAGCATTTCCATGACTGCAGGGGTTGGTCCAGTCACTGGTTAGGAGAGGGGAGACACCTACACCTTAGGGAGTTCTCAGGGTTCCTGTAGCCCCGCTCAACACTCCCTGTAAGCCGGGAGCAAGCCTGTGGAATCTTGAAAAGGCCCAGAGATCATCTCAACACTCGCTCATTCCTGGACAGGCTCCTGGGCAGCATTTCAAAACTTAGGCCACGACGCAGGAGAGGCTTATGAAAGTAGGGGAAGAGTCACAGCCAGCTCTGCAAACATGAAGGCAGTGGCGTGTGTTCACGCAGGGGAACCATGCCTTGGAAAACATTTCTTTTTCCAGGTATGCCAGGATGGGGGCGGGGGTGAGGGAGGGGGCATCAAAAGCATTTCCCGCTGTGGGTGAAGCAGGCCACCTCCCCTCACTTGGTCTCATCCTCCTGTCTGTCCGTCCATCTGTCCGTGTAGTGTTGTAGTGTCTGTAGCCTTCGTGCCAGACTCTCTGACCCCTGAAGCAGAGGAACAGATGAAGTCAGCCGGGTGGTTAAGCGAGGTTCGTGCTGGGGGCTTTAATTGGACAAGTGCATCAGAATCTTTTGAAATGTCAAGACCCCTTCAACTCCCCGAGGTTTTATTTTCTAGAAAAATGAGTCAGGCTAAATCGGCCCGCCGCCTCACAGCTGTCACGTCCTCTTCCCTTTGCCAGACTCTGAGCCCACACCCAGGCCCCGGCTCCCAGCAGCCTGTCGACTGCAGGCACAGCCTTCCCTATCACGTACCATTTCCTTGCCCTGCATTACGGTTCCCGTGAGTCATGTGATCTGGGTAGAGCTGCTCAGCAGGTGGCTCCTGCAACCCACCGCTTGGCACTTGGCGTGGGAGGGGACAGGATGTTTTCTCAACTGACTTAGGGCTGTCTCTGTGGCAGCTCGTGTTTGATGGGGTACGTTCTGAACTGCCGAGGTGGTTTGAGCGTGAAATGTCCCTACAGGCTCCTATATTATAATGGCCAGTATACAGCTGGAGGCCCTGTTTTGGAGACAGAGGTGGAGCCTCATGGGGCCAGGCCCTGAGGTTTGATAGCTCGATCCCATTTCTTGTCCACTCTCTATTTCATGATTTCCACCATACCGGGACTTCTGGCTCCTGCCACTGTGCCTCCCTGAGCACAGCCTCCTTTAAGCCACTTCTCAAGTATTTGGTTATAGCAGGAAATGCTTCCACTCAGAAAGCAGAGTTCCCTGGAGCAAGCTGGCTAGCTGGCTTTCCTGCCCGGGGAGCTTGGGTTCAAGTGAGAGTCCTGCATCAATGAGCGGGGATGAGAATGTTGGAGGGGAACCCTGACATCCCCTGGAGCTTCTACACATGCACAAAACGTGCAGACAGGCGCCCACAGCACGCAGAGGCACAGGGAGAGGACACATGTTTGGATTCAGAGGGTGCGGACAACTAGCTGGGCGGAGGCCGAGGGTGAGGTTCCAGTAGTCAGCTCCAGATCCAAGTGCTGTAATCTGAACGATCTCATGTCTCTGTCATTTTCTTCCTTCTAAAATGGAGCTGAGAGCAAACTTGCTGTGTAGCTGAGGATGACTCCTGTTCCTCCCTCAGGGTTTACAGGTGTGCTGGGCTACGCAGCTGGATCTTCAAGAGAGCAAGCGGAACGTTGTCTTGGAGGACTGAACCAGATCTGAGCTCGGAGGTCTGGGAAGAGAGAGGGGCAAAGAACCAGACAGAAGAGAGAGGGAGAGCAGAAGGTGCAGTGGTTGGGGTGTGACTTCCTCTCCACGATCCAGGGAAGCACAGCCTACCCCAAGAGCTCCGCCACAGAGTGCCCACCTAAAGGCTTTCAATGGCATTTGTGAGCATGTGCACATGTGTACATCTGGAACAATACCCGACTTATTTTGAGACAGGGTTTCCCATTTGCCTGAGACGCCTCCATTAGACTAGGCTGGCCGGCCAGCCCCAGGAGAGGCCATCAGTGTGACTGGGGTGCAAGTGAGTTTGCAGCTGCCTCCTTCCAGCATGTGTCACAGTAGTTGTCTTTTGTACCTGGCTTTCAGGTATCAAACTCAGGCTCTTCTGCCTGCAAGGCAAACCCTTTACCTACTGAGCCATCTCCCTAGTCCCAGGAGATGTTCTGATAAATGAATAATAATAATAAAAAAAAAGATGAACCAAGACAAGAGGCTGAGAATTGTGGGAAGTGTTATATATCCTTCCCTCAGAGGAAGCAACTCCTTTCTTCCTACACTCCAGAGCTCCACTTACTTGTGACTGGATGTGCTGAAGAGACAGGTCAGAAGGCCAGAGAGGCCCACTGTGTAGGCAGCAGACATCTCACCAGTGTGAGTAAAGGTGGGTGCTCATTCAGTGTGTTTTGTTGCAGGGCAGTTGTGGGGTTAGGAGGCCAGAGTGGGGGAAGACTAGATGAGTCCCATATGCTTAGTGAGGACGGACTGAATTCACCCCCAGGAAGAAGGGGAAAGGAGAGAGAGGCAGAGGATGGGGCCTGACCAGGGCTCCTGGGCCAGGTGCTCTCTTGCTGAGTGCAGACAAGCTGTTGCAGATTGCAGATGGCCCCATGTGGGGGACGGTGCCAGGCATGCTGTGCAGAGAACAAGGCCCTGACTAGAAGCTACTTGTAGCCTAGGAGGGAGTCATCTATACTTGAATAATAGTCAGGCTGCCCTAGACCTGGAGAGGGATCTGAGCAGGGGGTCAGGAAGACCTGGAGAGTTTAGGAGGCAGGAAGGAGGCGCTGGAGGTAGATGGTGGGAGATGAAGGTTGGCTACAGCCAAAGGTTCCTGGCTTTACACTCTGGGCTCTGCAGAAAAGAAAAGCACGGGGTCTCCACAATGCCTCTAAGAACAAAACCCACATCCATGCCCTTTCACTCTGAGCTCCATTTTGGATTCACTGGCTGGCCTTATGACTGGTGCAGAACAGCTGGTAACCATCTCTGGGGTGGAGAACACTTCCTCTCAGTGGTGTAGGAATTTGGGCAAGTGCTGCCAGCTGTCTGTGTGGATTTCCTGCCACTCTAGAGGCCTGCCAGAGGGTGATGGAAGCAAAGGACTCAGGGTATGAGGCTGGTGGCACTGTAAGGGGATGCATAGCTCCAAAGGAAGGACCTGGAACCATGAGATTGATATGGGGGAAGTTTGGGGCTTTCTGGAGGGGTTCTTAGTTTCATTAATAAAAGAATTTTAGAGTGAGTCACATGGACACTCAAGGACGATTCTATTAGAGTTTAAAATGAACTCTCCAGGGCAGGTAAGCTGTAAATTTCAGCAGCTGCCTGAAGGGGAGGAAGGGGGAAGAGAAAAAGTCAGGGCATTCCCTCCATCCTTGTTAGGCCAGCACAGGGGTCAGACACTGGCAGGGAAGGAGCCTTAGAGAAGAGTATGGAGAACGCCTACATAGGTTTCAGCCAGCATCAGAAGGAAGGAGAGAGGACAAAGACATCAGAAAACTGGTACCTCATAAAGGTAGGAAGACTGCACTGAACCTCATGTTGCTGCTTCAGCTAGTAAGGATGGTTAGGGAGGTGGGGATTCTGGCAAGGAGAGGTCTGGTATCTCATTACAGAATTAATTATTCCTCCTACCTTTGTAGCATTGCTTAAGGTACATCTGCCTTCCAATAGGTCGTCCCTCCTTCTGAGCCTCCTAGCCAGGTACTTGACCCTTCCAACTGTAATGTTAGGTCTCCACCCAGGCCAGAGTTCCTTAGCAAGTTCCCTCCTTAGGGTCTTTCAGTGCTGCCAGGGTCTGACCCCTGTGCTGGCCTGACTTTTCTTCCCTGTCTCTGGAGTGACGACACTCCCCTGCAGCCCACCTGCTTCAGGGAAAAGCCAGCCTTGCTGGGAAGATGCTTTGGTGAGTTCTATGGAAACTTGGCTGCCCATGCAGAGCTGTGAACATCCCCAGCCACCTTTGCTACGCCCCAGATAGTGTATCACTTGAGGGTCTGCAGCTGGGGAGCGACACACAGGTCAGATGACAGCCTCTGGCCACCACTCGGCCGGACAGGATGCAGCTATGTTGAGGTATTTAAATGGGTGGAGACAGCTGGGCCAACAAGATAAACTGTGACAGCCATCGAGGCAAAGAAATGATCTAGTCTACAATGATCTGAACAAAAAGAGGAGAGCCCACTCTGCTTCTAAGTCATTGTGGGAGCATAAAGTTCCCATAGATGACATGATGGTCAGTGTTCTTTAAAGCTACCAAGGCTAGATGAGACAAAGCAAGACCATGGTACTGTTCCAGGATGGATGGACTGAGGAAACTCAGGAAAGGTCATGTGGGATCCTGGTCTAGATCCTCAGCTATCGATAGGACAGGTGAAACTGGAACCAAACACGTTCATTACTCCATTTCATGTTGCTCTGACAAAATACCAGCGGCTAACACTTTATCAAGAAAGAGGTTGACGGCCGGTGGGAGAGCTCAGTGGGTAAGGATGCTTGCCCCTAGCCTGACCTCTGGAACCCACATGGTGGAAGGAGAAAACAGTCTCACAGGTTGTCCTCTGACCTCACCTGCACAGGTGCACATATAACACACACACACACACACACACACACACACACACAACTTTTAAAGGAAATAAGTCGACTTAGCTTAGTGTTCTGGAGGTTCAAGTGTGTGGGGCCAGCATCTGACCCCCTCTGGTAAGAGACCTCAAGGCAGATGCATCGCAGTACTGAGAACTTACCACATGGCCAGGCCGGAAGCCAGAGCAGCAGCCCAGACAACTCATTTAGTAATAACCCATGCTTGAGACCTTCTAGTACCACCCCCTCCAAGATCACTGCCTTCCTTGAGGCCCATCTCTTAAGGTCCCTCCTTCTCCTTCTCACAGCCTCCCTGGGGACTAAACTTCCAGAGTGTAAGTATTTGTGACATGTAGGTAGAGAGGGTTGCTGGGGCATAACCACTTCTTTTAAGGCTATAATAAGAAAGCATTAGGAGACACTATTCAAAGGCTGGATGTTGGTTTGTTAGGCAGTGGGTTGCAGAGCACTGGGATAGTGCCTCTCAAAGCCTGTGGGGTTTGCTAGACACCAAAATCTAAGAATATACTAACCTCAGAAAATACTGATATCATCTTTGTGAAATCAGTGTCTGATTTTTGACGGGTCTCATGAAAAGTTATTTTCTGTTTGATGTTGAAATTGGCCATGTGTGGTCCGAATGCTCTTGGCTACTGTATAAATGGTTAACTTCTTTTTTTTTCTGTTAAAAAGTCTGATGCTTGCACATATGAATTACACTCTGATCCAGCACCCTCTTGTGTTTGTGTTTGTCACTCGCCGACTCCTTGCCTACCTGTTACTGGTTCCCTGGTTCTCCCCAGGTGTGGGACCCCCGACTGGGTCTGCCTGCAGCACCACAGGAGACAGGAGTCAGTCTTAGACTGCCTTAGACTTAGAGTGTACAGCCAGCAGCACATTGCACATCTACCCACCCGCTCATTCATTCATTCATTGCAGGAGAGTTCCTAGCTGGATGAGGAAGCAGACAACAAAACATCTAGCAGAACCACCTTGAGGTGGTGGGGAGAAGGGAGAGGAAGGATGGTGCGGGGAGCCACTTTGCTGACCAGTGTGCTGGGTAGAGCGGAGAAGACCAGCTAGGTGTCCAGGAAGTTGCACATGAGCTGCAAGGTTGAGTTAGTGTGCTTAGCTTGCTGCTGGGAAGTTGAGGACTATGCTTTCCAGGGTTACTGGACTGTTCTCGGGGCACTCCTTCCTGGGGTGGGAGTCATTACAGCTTGGCTCAGGGCAGCGGATGGGAGGACTTACCAGGGAAGAGCATACTTCCCCAACCCCAGGAAACCAGGATGTGTGTCCTGAGATTCATGCTCACTCTGCACGTCCCTGAAGAAGAGGCAGCAACCACTGGGCCCTCTCAGACTCCGGTGGATGTCCCTGGCAGCACATCCTGCTCTAGTAGGTCTGGTAGCCCTTGGGGAGGGCGGGGATGCTCTGTGGCTCCAGTGGTTCCAGAATCCTGGACCTGGGTTCTGGGAGAGGGAGGCATGGAGCAACTTCCACGCCAGGGAAAGCTCTCTCTCTCTTCTTTTTGGGACCTACATTGTGAATTCCTGCCCCTCCATCCAGGACTTCCATTCACTCTGTCTTCTTGCTGGAGTAAAAAGCCAGACTTGCATGGCTCAGCAGTTCTAGGCAAGCTCTCTTCCAGGTGAGAAACCTGTGGCTCAGAGGAGTGGGTAACCATCCCAGAAAGTACTTTGTTTTCTGTCTCTAGGGTTGATAAAGGTGATTCATTTTAAACTCAGCAAAATGACAATGGGGGAGGCTTAAAAAGAGGAAAGCAGGGAAGAGGCTGGGGACCCTGTGAGTGCCTGCTCTGCCCTGCCAAGGGCTGTGCTGGGAACACGGCTGCTCCCTCCAAGGATCTTAGCACCACAGACATTTTGATAAAGCCAAGAACCCCCGAGGAATTCAGACTCAGGGAGTTGGGTGGGTGGAGAGGTTCTGTCATGCTGGGAACCAACTGTGGCTGCAGACAGGGGTCTGGGCAAGAAGACAGACAGGATATGCTTAATTGTCCTGAGAGCCACATCTGCCAGGCAGGGAGAGGTGTGGAGAGATTTAGCATCTTCGGCAACTTTCCTTGTGTCTTTCTAGTACATTCTACACTGAAGTTTTATTTTTATTTATTTGTGTATGCATGTGCCTGTGGAGGTCAGAGGTCAACCTTGGTGTCATTCTTTAGGTTTTTTTGAGACACGGTCTCTCACTGGTCTAGAACCCACTTAACATTTTGATGCTGGAGAGGTAGATGGCTTAGTGGTTAAAGGTGCTTTGGGACATCCCAGGTTCTGTTCCCAGAACCCAAGCCGTAGCTTCCCACTGTCTGTAACTATAGCTCCAGAGGATCTGACACCCTCTACAGCCTCTATGGCCCTCAGGCACATGTGTGGTATGTCTCTATCCGACCAGGCAAGATATTCAGATGCATAAAGTAAAAAGAAAAATAACTTGTCCAAAGAGGAGAGCTTGGTGTCGCGCACATTCCCGATGCCAGTGCTTGGGGTACAGAAATGGGAGGACAGCAAGTTTGAGGCCAGCTCACACTGTGAGTGAGACTCTGCGTCAAGCAACAGACAAAGTTAAGAGGATGGCCCATGAGGATAATGATCCAGGCATAGAGGCCAGAGCTCTGGGCGGCTCTGTCTGGCACCATGGTCCTGCGTGCCCTGTGAAACTGGAACAATACCTGTTGCCTCACTGCCTTGGGGAATACCTAGCCCTGTGGGAAACTTATCAAGAAGGGCACTGTTACCAGATAAACCTTGTCTAAATCTGCCTGAGTAGGATTATGTCGAGTCGAACTCTTACTGGTAAGCCAACTTGCACACCCAGGTTCACTGTGAAAGCTCCTCAGTGTGGGTTTAAGGAACATTGAGGGGACGGTGGGGGGTGGGTAAGGAGGTTATTGGAGGAGTCATTAACTCAGTGGACAGGCAGACAGACAACAGCATGGCTGTGAGGAAGCCAGAACCCCTATTGCAGAAGTGGGGCCTCTTCTTGTCCAGTTCTGAGGATGGGGGAGGTTCGACAGCACAAGCCTGCTGCCAGGGCTCTCGGATTTCCAGGCAGAAGGCAGGGAAGGGGACTGGAGGCAGGACATGTGGCCACTAGTGCCCCCCTGGTGTCAGTTCACCTCCCAGGTGAGAGATCCTGGCACCTGGAAGTCCTTCAGCTATGGGCTGGCAGGCAGCGTCTCAGTAGGAACCTGTGCTGTCTGTGAGGGGAAGGGCTGTAGCTGGGGCAGCAGCTGGGTTCTGACTTTGTGTTTTACAATGTCCTTGCTGTGTGTCCTTGGAAATGTCACTTTCCATTTCTGTTCAGTTCTCTGGGGCAGTCCGGAAGGTCTTAGTACCACAGGTTAGAATCAGTGGTCATAGGAAGCCTCTGGAAGCCACACAAAGGGAAAATGGCTAAGACTAATGCATTAAAATCTCTTTCTGGGAAACTCTTGTTAGAGCCCAGGATTGGCTGCAAGGATTATGTCAAGCTGAACTCTTACCGGTAAGCCAACTATGTGGGACAGTGAAACTGACTGGTGGGGTCCTGGTTTTCCTGCAGGCTGGCTGGGCCGGAAGTTTCCAAAGCACCCTCCACGCCCCACCAAACCCTTGCCCCTGTGTGGATCGTTCTATGACCCCTCCTAACTCCGCAAGTCAGAGGCCGTGGTTGCCTTCGCTGTGCCCATGGGCGTTGGGCTTGCTTTCCCATCCGGGAAGCATCAGCCCTTGAAGCATCTCCCAGTGAGGCTGCTTGAGCAGGAGTGGTCTAACATCCAGTTCCTTCTTCCACCCAAGTCCTCACACTGTCTCTCCATGGACTCCAGGAGTGAGTCCCAGCTCAGCTAGGTTTGGCTGAGTGACTTTGGCAACTTCCTTGGCCTCTCAGTGTCTGGTCACCTCAGAGAGATAAAACTGCGCTTGCCCTAGTGAATGACGGCAGGAGGGAAGTGGTGAGAAGAGACTCTGGCTTGTAGTAAGCCTGTGTAATTGTCGGGTGTTGTTAGAAGTGCTGGTGGAATTTAGTGACTGATGGCTTCCCACACCCTTGATGGACAGAAGAAGGAGAAAGCTCAGTTCTGCCCCCAGGACCCTAGAGACAGGCTTCTGATGCCTGGCTCAGCCTATATGTGTGTAGCTGCTGTGCCCAGAACGATGTCAAAAATGCAACAACAGTGGGCTGAGAGCTAGAGGGACCATCTAAAGCTGGGCAAGAGTGGCCTTTGGGCTTCGGGATTCCAAAAACAACAGAGAGCCTCCTGGGGGAGGGCTGAGTAGGTTGAGGTTCTGGGATGGCCATGCTTTGGGTCACAGGCTCCTGAGGCTGCTGGGGCAGAGTTGGCCACAGCTGTGCCTGGGAGGGAGTAAGATCAGAAAGGAAAAGATGAGTGGAGAGGGAGGAGAGGAAGTGGCCACACCATTTAAATCCCATCATTTTCTGATGTCACTCTCTCCAGTCCTGCACTGAGGAGCCCCAAGGACTCTTGCAGCCCCCGGACTTAGGAAGAGCCAGTTCTGTGTCCAGAGGAGTACCTTGTGTGAGTGCTGGGGACCGGGCAGGGGTGTGAAGGGAGGGGTGGGTTTGTGGGGTCCTTAAATCATAGCTTGGTTTCCTGGTCCTGGCAAGCCAGCAGAGGCACTGTTCATAAGAATTGATTAGATCAGCTACTTTTACATTCCAGAAGCTCATCTTGTTTGTTTGAACGGTTTGCACATGTCGTGGGTTGCATAGCCCACAGCACATGCTACTGGGATGGATCGAGGTTAGTCCTTTGGGGGACCCACCTACCTAGCTCTTAGCTGGTGTCTGGTGGTAGGAGGAGGAGGCGGGATGCCTGCAGCAACTCTGGGGCTTGAATCTGTGACTCAGTAAAGGTTCAATATACAACTTGAGTTGCATGTGGGGATACCCAAGTATAGAGATACCTCCACTGTGGCATCTGCCACACTTCTGTTGTCTCCTGTCCTTGACTGCAGCCCTGGTTACTCTGTGAAAGCTCATAGACTGCCTGCCAACTCCATATGCCAGTAGCACAGCCCAGGGGCACCTTGGCCTCCTGAGTTGTCTCTGGCCTAAGTTGCTCAGGGTGGAACTCCACTGTGGGAGCCGTGTCCTTCAAATTGAAGCTTATTCTGTCAGAAGGGGACCTCAGGCTAAGTGATGGCATTTTCCTCTTGGGTTTTCAGTCCACCCAGCTCATTGGAGGCTTCCGGAATTGGGTGTTACCTCACCATGCCTGTTTCACCCTCTAGAACATGGAAGTCACTGTGATAGCCTTTGAGCATCCTGTGAGGAAGTTCCAGCTTTCTCAGGTCATATGGCACGGCCCACAAGGCCACGTGCTGGAAGGATGAAACGATTTGTTTGTTCGTTTGATTATGTTTCTGGAGGGTTTTATTTCATTATTTTATTTGAGATTGGGACTAAGGCGTCTCAGACTCGCCTTACACTTGCCGTATGACTGAACTTCTGATCCTCCTACCTAAACCTCCTGAGTTCGGTTTTGAAGGTGTATACCACCACACCCATTCAGTGCTGAGGACCAAACCCTCACACTAGGCGAGCACTCAGCCAGCTCTGCTACAACCCCAGCGTAAATGTAGCGCTGTTGCTGTCCTACAGAGACTGCATCTGCCTCTGTTCCCCTAGCTTTGTGACAGTGGAGCTTTGTGACAGGGGAGCTTTGTGACAGGGGAGCTTTGTGACAGGGGAGCTTTGTGACGGGGGAGCTTAGCTGGAGTTGATCTCAACAGCTGGACGTGGATCTTGACCAACTGAAGTTGATCTCTCACTGGAAGCCCCTAAGTGAGTCTCTGGATCCCTGGAAACTTTCCCTGCAGGGTCACCTTCGCCACCCGCAGACCTACACTAAGGTGTGAACAACTCATTCTTAAGGTCTTACTGGAGAAGCCAAGTGAGTGTAGGGGAAATGAAAATGGCCAGCGCACGGCCCTTCTTGTGAGTTCCAGGACTGCAGAGGGGCCAGGAAGGCACGTGCCATCCATCCACGGCGTGCACGGGGACACGGTTGCTGACTCACCTGGTAGGTGTTGATGGACGTGTTGGTAGAGGCCTGTTGCTTCAGAGGACCTGGAGAGCTTCCCAGAGTGCCCTAGGGGGCAGGGAGACCTTCAGAAGTGGCTTGGAACAGACTAAAGCTGCCGACCCTGACTTTGATCAAAAAAACATCTGTTAGGTTGTGTATTTACTAAAACAAAAGTCAGGGCCGTTGAGAAATTAGGTCAAAATCAAGGCCAGGGCTGGAGGTGCAGAGGACAGCTAGGGTGCCCTTGTTATTGGCACTCTGATTGACAAGCACTGAGCCTCAGGAGAGTTCTCCTCATCTGTACCCCCCACCCCCTCAGCTCAACTTCTGACAACAGCCGGGGGATGGGAGATGTTCAGGGCCAGGAGAAGCCATGTGCACAGGAGAGGAACAGGGACCACCCCCTACTGCAAGGCAGGCTCAGAGCCACCTTTGAGACTGGCCAGGAGATAGCTGGGTCCTAGAGAAAACTTCCTGGACATTCATTCGACTTCCTTAACATCTGGTCCCCATACTCTCAGATAGGAGTCCAAGGGCAGGGCAGAGGCTGACTGGGTGGGAGTTCTCCAGTGTTCCATGGGAGGGGTAATGCTTCCAGACCAGTTTATTTTGTCCAACCTCATAGATGCTCAAAGAGTCCCCGGGGGGCCTCCTGAGCCAACAGCTCTTTCAAAATTCTTCTTATGGAGTAAAAACAATCCTTGTACCAGAAAGAGCCACAGAAGACATTGCAACATTCGTGAAAAATGTAAAAAGAACATAAGCCCCTCACAGACCTGAGTTATGCCAGAGCGTGCCAGTGCCTGCTGGCACCCCAGCACCTGAGAGCGAGGCAGAGGGATTGATGCAACTGTCAACCTCTTATGAAGTGAGATTCTCATCCATTAAAAACATAAATAAACATGCACACTGGCATGAGTTGAACTGGAGTACAGGAGACAAAGGTGCAGGAGTTCAGGAGGAACTGGTGTGTATGTACCCCATGATGCATTGCCACCGCTAGCCCACAGGCCTCTCTGTGGTGGCTCAACATAACTGCTCCTGGACAACATTTTCATCTCTTTTCCTCTCTCTTCCCCAAAACTCCTCTTCACTGGTGAACAATATAATGTGCCGAACATAAAGGTCCCTAGCCTTGGGTTCTAACAGGGGGTGAAGCTAGTCCTGTATTCTTGATCCTCGGGACTAATTGTGTCACTTTGTGAGAGACAACATGGGCTGGGGAGTAAGGAAGCAACTCACCCCACCTCTCTCCCTCTCTCTCTCTCCCTCTCTCTCTCTTTCTCTCTCTCTTTCTCTCCTCTCTGTCTCTGTCTCTGTCTGTCTCACTCTCTCTCTCTCTCTCTCTCTCTCTCTCTCTCTCTCTCTCTCTCTCTCTC